GCTGTGCCCAACCTCAAACAACTGAGTCAGGGTTTCAATTACCTTGACCCCTACATCCTTGTGCCTCAGTGCCTCCGCAACAAAGATGTTATGATTATGTACATTGTACAAACGGACAGAAGTTGGGTAAGTGGGTATATGGGGATCATTGCTCCTGAAAAATAAAAACAAATCACACAAAAAGCAGGCAAAAGCACTTATTTTATCCCATCTTGACATTTCTAACTCACCTACTAGTTCCTCCCCTTTTGTCTGTAGTCTTCACCAGATTGCAAACCAGTTTTGCCTCACAGCATGTATATTTTGACAGCCGTCTTTGATTAGCCGTGTCTGATCGGACATAAACATTGTGCTGGCACCTATAATGAGCCTAAAGATAGACAGAATATACCTGTTTAAATATGTACAGAAGTGTGCACAAATCATAGACATGTTAAATTTTTTATTTAGTTATTTATATATTTTGCATTAGTCTGCCAATAGAAAAAATTATTTTGCATGTCCAAACTTACATTTTGACATTAATTGTAATTATTATTATTATTATTATTATTACTCCTTTATTTATCCAGGAAAACATCCCACTGACATACAACATCTCTTCTTCCAGGGAGAAAATGGCAGCAAGAAGTCCAACAACAAACAGTATGGACCACACAGAAATCTAATCTCACCATCAGAGTCCAACAGGGATTACATGAAGAGACAAAAAAAAATTTTTTTTTTAAAGAGACAGGCTACATCCTGTGCCAATATCTCCAAGACCTTTGAACTTTTGCATCAACCTGCAAAGCCGAAAAATTGAAAAATGTATATGCATTTGTGAAAAATGTTGTAAATTGAGGATGCTTTCAAAAATAATGTAAATAAATTATGTCATGAATACATTTTTTTTATTATTGTTTTAGATTTTATTATTTAGATTTTCAGGAAGATTTCTCCAAGTGTATTGGAGATGTTGCCACAGGATTTAGTCTCTCTCCATTTTTTTCTCTTTATGCAATCCCAGATGGACTAGATGATGGTGAGATTAGATCTGCGTGTGAACCATATGATTTTGGACTCCCTGTGCATACAAAAATCCATCCATCCATCTCACTTGTCCTAGGGCTGTACGAATACTGGAGCCTACAGATGGCCAATCCATCACAGGGATAAAAATCTCTTTGGATTATTACAATTAATGGCTAAATGAATGTTTGGAAATGTGAACTGATATTTCCTACTGACACACTACAGCAAAAGATAGAAATAACTGGCTTAAAACCATTTTTTCTTGGTGAAAATACTAGTGGCCAAAGACTTTTGCACAGTAGTGTGTGTATATACACTGCCGTTCAAAAGTTTGGGATCAGTAAGACTTGTAATGTTTTTTAAAGAAGTCTCTTCTGCTCATCAAGACTGCATTTATTTGATCAAAAATACAGAAACAAAACAGTAATCTTGCTAAATGTTATTACAATATAAAATAATGGTTTCTATTTTAATATACTTTAAAATATAATTTGTTTCTGTGATCAAAGCTGAATTTCCATCAGCCATTACTCCAGTCTTCAGTGTCACATGATCCTTAAGAAATCATTCCAATATGCTATGATTTATTATTAGAATTATCAATGTTGGCAACAGTTGTAATGCCAAATATTTTTTTGGAAACTGCTATACTTTTTTTTCACACAAAAAAGAAATGGTCATCTTTGTGTTAATATGCCTTGTCCCGTGTGTGTATTTATTTGCTGGACATGGGATTAACGGTAAAAACCTGATATAACCCGGGATAGGTCTATCGGCTATACGGAACCCCGACTGACAGGATTGTTTTCCTTCTTTTTATTTGTATATGGTATAAAAATTATGTCCGCATATTTTAGTGACAGAACTATCTAACTATTTTGACTATCAGAGGAAAAAATAAAGACGATAGTTACACCCCATTTTTTTCATAAAGAACAAACAAAATTGTAAGCATTTTGAGTTTTATTTCTAAAACGAATCAAACTAATAAAAAATAAACATAGCTTACATACCCTTTCATTCAAAACTACGCCATCATTGCTCAAATAAAGTTTGAATACATTACTAGTTTAAAATCAGTATAATATAATTTGTGTAAGCCTATGAAACACACCTATATCTTGTAATTACAGTTTAATTTACATTAAATACTAGCTTCAATGACAGCCCCACTTTGCGCATGCGCATTAAAATCCAATACTGCGCATGCTCGTCAAACATCCAATACGTATTGGATCTGATCCAGCTACCTCATCGTACTAAAGGCTGCAGCTAGGACCTCTTGTAAAAAGGGGCTGAAACTTAAACACGCATCTAAGTAATTGTAAACGGTTACTTGCATTGGCTTCGATTGCTGAACAAGAGTCCTGATGCGGTAGATAACGGAGGTCTTTGATGAGTTCGTTATGAGTGAGCTGGAAGTTTACTTCTGGGTCTTCTGAAGATAGGAAACGTCCACAGCGAATCGCAGTTACTTGAAGATAAAAACTGCCGGAAAATCAGAACTCAAGAGGAAAATCTTGAGTCTTGGAAAAGTGTCGTCTCAAACGAAGAGGGTTTCTGAGCCAAGATTAGTCTGAGCTAATGACTTTTGATAGTTCCTATCCACACCCACCTTTTGGGTGGAATGGCCAATCAGAGGCATGAATTTTGAGCGGGAGAAACTTTCTATGTCTCTGTTTATGGCCCATTTGCATGTTTATTGCTGGTCTGGAAGATTGGTGCAGTTTTATCCAAAATATGCTACAAATAGTAAGATGCATTTCACGATCACAGTGTAGATCATTGTTTGAGGAATAAAAAAGCTGATCATTTTGATACCAAGAACGAAACACCTAGAAGATCTTAAAGCAGAGATACACTCATATACCTGAATATAAGCATTGCGAGTCTAACTAATACAAATAAAGTGTTGTAACTAGGCTAATACAATAGGGGAACATACAAACAACACAAGCATATACCAGATCCAATTATAACTGATTAATTATTGTCTAAATAAAGAAATGTCTTTATGTGTGTGTGTGGGGGTGTGTGTTATGTGAGCATGTTGTATTTTGCTGGTCAGCCAGGCCCATTGGTTCCTGGCCCCGGGGGTCATTTACGTCTCTTTGGAATGTGTTTGAAATTCAATGGGAAGATGAGAGTGGTGAAACTGTTTAGCATCTCCTTGATAGTGGGGGGGAACCATTTGACATTTAGCACCCATATAAGTGTAAAGTCTGTGACCAGGACTGTAATTTATATGCAAAGTCAAAAGCTAAAAGGGTCTCTTAAGCCATAAAACCCAAAGATCATGCATGATTCTAGGCTAATGCTGAGTTCACACTGCACGATTTTAGCCCGATTTTTCACTCGCTGACAGGTTTTGCGAAATCGCCGACAAATGCCCAAAATTGGAGGCAAATCGGTGCTCGTTCACGCGATTGACAATCACGCAGTGTGAATTATCAAAGACGCGATCTGAGGGAATCACCGATGCGTCGCCGTCGCCCGTGAAATATTTGGCATGCTAAATATCTGGAGCTGTTGGCGATTCACAATCACGCTGTGTGCAATGATTTCTGACTGAAAACTATATGATGACCAAACTACTGATGACCTACAGCCAATGAGAGATCAAGATACAGGGCAGAGGGAAGTTCGGGGAGGAGGTATAGACCAGAATATCAGTACTTTAATAGATATATGAACAATTATATCATAGAGAAACAAGCACAAACATTTGCTTGACCAGCCACAACATCAGCATAACAGTCACTGCAAAATTATTTACCTCCAACTCTCTTTGCAGAACAACCAATCCCTGTTCCCTGCATCTCCCTCCTGCATAATCGAATGTCTTTTTCTCCTTGTAGCTGGATATCGGCTCACAGACAATTTGCGGGATATATATATATTTTGTAATAATTAGTCTTGCTCGCGAGAACGCCGCTCTGACGCACGCGGGTTCTCTCGTTATTTCCTTATCACTTCTCGCGTGTGTTTTGTTGTAAAACGTAGTTTGCGGACCAGACAGAGCTGTCGGCGATTCTTCCTATTGTGAAGTCATGCAGTGTGAAACCCCCTGTCGCCGATCCATCGTGCAATGTGAACACAGCAGCGACTGAATGCTACCCCAGATAGTCATGCAGTGTGAAAACAACGGCGTTCCGACGAGTTTGAAAATCGTGCAGTGTGAACTCGGCATAACCGAGACTTGTCATTTTCACTTATATACTGTTGCTCTTTTGTTAGCTTTGATTGCTTATATTGTCCTCATTTGTAAGTCGCTTTGGATAAAGGCATCTGCTAAATGACTAAATGTAAATGTGATTGGGTCATTGTCTTGATTGTTCACAGGTGTTCCTTGTTTAGTCATTTAGTCTTGTGTATAAATACCC